CCCATCGTTCTGCCCAGACACTGAGGTCCAGCGTCGAGGGCCTTCTGGCGGTTCTCTCCCTGTGAGAAGCAAAGTTACAGGGAACCAGGCAGAGGGCCTTCTCGGTTGTGGCTCCCACCCTCCCACCAGATGTCCAAGAAATAAACAACTATCTGACTTTTAGAAGACATCTGAAGGCAGCCCTGTTTAGGGAAGCTTTTAATATTTGATGAATTATTGTATTTTAATATTTTGGTGGAAGCCACCCAGAGTGGCTGGGGAAACCCAGCCAGCTGGGCGGGGTATAAATAATAATAATAATTTTATTATTAGAGTGCTTTAAATGTAAGGTGGTGTGGATGTGACTTAAAACAGCTGCATAAATGCTGAGGGCTACTGCATACCCTCCAACATTGATCCAATGAAAATAGGGACATCCCATTCCATAATGATAATTTTACTATTTATACCCCACACATCTTACTGGGCTGCCCCAGCCACTCTGGGCAGCTTCCAATATATATAAAAACACAATAAAACTTTAAACATTACAAAAAAAACCCCTTTCCTATACAGGATTGCCTTTGGACGGTTCAGGGGGTCAGATAACTCCATAGCCTCCAACAATTCTCCACTGAAAATAGAATGTCCTAAGGAAAAGTGGGACATTCTGGGATCAAATCAGAAGCCGGGATGGCTTCTCTAAATCAGGGATACCCCTGGAAAATAGGGACGCTTGGAGGGTCTGATACTGCGTAGGCGATTGCTACGGTCATGTCTGTGTTTATTTTGGGCTCCGGCTTTATATCCTGAATGCAAATTCTTAGCAATTCTAGAACTCGAAAATCTGGGTGAAAAATGAAAGCTTCTGGGCCCTGTGGGCTTTCAGAATTTTATCTGAACGGTGAAGGCTTGTCTGTCTCTTCATTTCTCAGCCTGTTTGTTTCTCATCTCACTCCTCGGCTGACCTCTAGGGAACATCGGATCACATGGAACGACAAGCAACCTGCCATCCATGCAAATCTTCAAGCTACTTAAAACTATGCCTGCAACAGCAGGATCCAAATAATAGACACAGCTCGCAAAATGGTTCCAAAGATAGCAGTGGGATGAAGGCAATAGGAGGCCCTTTTCCCAAAAGGTCACATTGTATCGTGCAGTAAACGTGTGGAGACATGCAACCTTTGAGGTAGAGAGCTTCAGGACCAGGGGACAAATGCAGCCCTCGAGTATGTCTGTCTGGTCCTCAGGAGTTTCTCTAGGCCACAAACTCCTCTCCCCCAGCCATACTCCAGCATTTGTGAATCACAGGTATATTGTCTTAGAACAGGTGACATTGAGCACCAGTGGCTTCTCAAACGTCACCATCACCTGAGGCAGCCCTCTAAACCTAATGGATAAACCAGAGCTTTAATCTGGCTCATTTAGACTCATGGGTTGGATGTTTTCTGACCCTGGTTCAGGAGGTGTGGCTCAGGTCTAGCTCATTTTGGAATCACACCTGTAAAACATCCCTCAGGTCCATTCATGGCCTCTGAAAATTGTGTGTACATGTTAGATTTTCACTTCTGGAAAACCTTTCTCTTGTCAGTTAGCACATTTACATCTCTTTAACTCTTCTTTAATGCCTTTTATTTTCCTCCCTCCCTCTTTTTCTCTCTCTCTCCAGCCTTTTTGAAGCACATGCCTTCGGGAATAACTTCAGAGACCTGGATTTTTCCTGGGTAACTGACTAATAAATACATCACCATAAATACAAACTTCAATGAAGAGGCTTTATTTAAAGCAACTTTATTTGCATATGGAAAATATTGTTGTTTTTAAAAACAACAAGTAAAAAAAATATGCAACAGCATTTATATACCACTTAATCGTCAAAATCCCTATCTGCTATGTATGTATGTATATGTATCTTGTAGAACTCCTGATTTTATTTTGGAACGTTTTTAAGCTAATGTGTGTGTGTGTGTGTGTGTGTGAGAGAGAGAGAGAGAGAGAGAGAGAGAGAGACCAATGAAATCGTATATTAAAAACAAGTTAGCCTAAAAGCATTCCAAAATAAAATCAGGAGTTCTACAAAATACATCAAAAATAATGAAATAACATATTAAAATACATGCGAAATATACATGGCCATATAGTCTTGCTTAACCAAAAGCATTTTTAGCAGATGCCAAAAACAATATGGTGAAGGCTCTGATCTAATATCAAGGGGCAAGGACTTCCAAAGTATCTGTGAAGCCACACTGGAAGATTGATTCCTTTGAAGTATGGAACAAGCATTATGTGGTATGTTGTGTGTGTGTGTGTGTGTGTGTGTGTGTGTGTGCAGCAACTTGCAAAAGGGAAGAGCCAACATACATAGACGCCAGCCTAAACACACACGCATACACACACCAGACACAAAAATGCAATCTTTTAGGAAATATCTGAAGCTACCAACTTCTATATGTTTTTCTTCACATGATGAATTTACTTCTCTGTGACCTCTCTTTAGTCTGAAACTGAACCTGGGACAGCACTAGCTGACCCTAAACATTTAGTTACATTAATCATGGGGTGGGTGGTGTAGTGGCTTTATTTTATTTCTTTTATTTTTTGGACTCTGAGCACCCTCAACAAAAGACATTTTATCCACTGGACATTGATCAAAACAGGTATCTCCAGATCACAGGACATTAATCACTTTCCCGATTATCAGTTCCGCCAGTAGAATATGTAAATGGGATGGCTGTCAGCGATAAAAGGAAGTGGAATTTATTTTCCAGTGGAGCCCATCTGGAACTGTTGATACCATCTTCCCTAAGACAGTAGAGGTGTAGAGATAAATTCTTTGCATTCGTGATGCTGGCTGGCTTGCCGACAGACCCCCGCCACCCCCGCCTCCCTCAAAGAAATAATGATGTCCAAGTGCAATTAAACGAAAGCTCACAGAAGAGTGTTTGCGCAGCGAGGTGGGAGTTTCAGTCCCTGGAACGATTTGCTGACCTGCTCGCACAGTTAGAAAAAGAGGTTTGGAGCTTTAAAAGAGAGGAGGGAGGAACAGCGGTGATGTTTCCTGAAAGCTCTTCTAATTCTTCTGGAGCCTCAAACGTTTCAAGGGAATGCAGCTCCTTCCTGTGCCAACCCCCACGCCTGGCTGTGATATCTTTGCCTCGTGGCTAAGGACGTGTAACTGCAACGCTCGGAGGGGAAGGCTCCCCATGGCAGATGGCAGACCCTTTGGACATATTCATAAGACAGCAATTCTCACGGAGGAAACACAGAGCTTGTCGGGACGCTCCTGGACATCTTGAGACACGTGTGCAGCATGTAGGCTGAATGGCCTGTTGGAGCAACAATTGCACTTTTGCTACCTGGTCAAGTTTAAGGTTTCGCTATTAGCAGTGCTTTTTTTCTATAAAAAAATGTTTAGGGGTACTCTCATTATCCTGCTCATATTGAAATACAGTGGTACCTCGGGTTACATACGCTTCAGGTTACATACGCTTCAGGTTACAGACTCTGCTAACCCAGAAATATTACCTCGGGTTAAGAACTTTGCTTCAGGATGAGAACAGAAATCGTGCTCCAGCAGCGCGGCAGCAGCGGGAGGTTCCATTAGCTAAAGTGCTGCTTCGGGTTAAGAACAGTTTCAGGTTAAGAACAGACCTCTGGAACGAATTAAGTACTTAACCTGAGGTACCACTGTACTGTCCCTCAATGAGGCCAAACTTAGATTTACAAAATGTTTAGGGATATGTGTACCCCCAGAAAAAAAGCACTGGATATTAGTACATAAAGCAGCTTAGGAAATATCTACCTGTGAGATCGCCTTACACTGTATGTGCCCACTTGACCAGTTTGCAGAACTGGCACTGTTATAGATACTACATAATACTCATGTCAGATTGGCAAGAAATTTTTATTTATTTATTTTTAGTGTGCCAGCACCATACCCTCCAACATCTATCTGATGAAAATTGGGGTGTCGCCAACAACAACAACAATTTTATTATTTATACCCTGCCCATCAGACTGGGTTGCCCCAGCCACTCTGCGTGGCTTCCAATGTATATAAAAACATAATAAAACATTAACTGTCAAAAAACTTCCCTCTTCAGATGTCTTCTAAAGGTTGCATAGTTACTTATCTCTTTCACTTGGATGTTGCATAACTCCTATACCCTCCAACATTTCTCCAATGAAAACAGGGACGTCCAAATCAGAAACAGGGACAGCTTCTGTAAATCTGGGACTGACCCTGGAACATGGGGATACTCGGAGGGTCTGCAGCACCCACACTTTGGAACTCCCTGCCTATTGATATCATTGTGCTGCTTTTGACACCTGCTAAAAACAGACTGCAGGCTGTGGGGTCACAAGTTGGAACTCTCCCCTTGCAGGTAGAAAACTAGGAGATAGTGGCCTGAGATATATGGGTTGTATCCAAATATATTCTACTCAGAGTAACCGGCTGAAATGAATAAACATGACTGTTAGGTCTATTAATTTCAACAGGCCTACTCCAAGTTAGGGGTGGGTGAGTAATTCAATTCAGACTGCATTTTCTGCTTTATATTTTAGTGGGATGGGGCAGAGTTGGATCGCAGAGCTACAATTCCCAGGGTGGTTTAACAGTCAATTCCTCTTCCCAGGGAACTCTGGGAACTGTATCTCTGTGAGGGGAACAGGGACTTCATCTCAGCACCTTTAACAAACACCCGCTCCCAGAATCCTTTGGGGAAAGCCATGACTTTTTAAAGTGGCATCATGATGCTTTAAATCAGGCTTCCTCAACCTCGGCCCTCCAGATGTTTTGAGACTACAATTCCCATCATCCCTGACCACTGGTCCTGCTAGCTAGGGATCATGGGAGTTGTAGTCCAAAAACATCCAGAGGGCCAACGTTGAGGAAGCCTGCTTTAATTGTATGGTATTGATGTGGCCAAAAAGGAGGGGTCCTACATTGGACCTCCTTCTCCAAGGATCGATCTGTCTCTGTGCCCTTCAAGAAACAAACCTGATGGCTTGTACAGGAAGGGCCTAGCTCAGCTGACAGAGCATCTGCTTTGCATGCAGAAGGTCCCAGGTTCAATCCCTGGCATCTCCAAGTAGGACTGCGAGAGACTCCTGCCTGAAACCCTGGCGGCCCACTGCCAGTCAGTGCAAACAATAATGAGCTGGATGGACCAACAGACTCAATATAAGGAAGCTTCCTATGTTCCCTGCAACACAACACTATCCCAGGTACCACAGGATTGCGGGCTTAAGATATAGCCATGTTGCTTGGAAAACATGTCCTCTCTTCCTTTGTCGTGGGCGCTATTCAGTTGGGTGTCCTACCACTCCCACTTTCTCCTATGTAACCATGGATTTACCAGCTGAAAACATCAATATTTCAGGGTCAGCATGAATGAGTAAATAAAATACAGGATAAACCCCAAGCTTTCCCCATTTCTCTATAAAATAAAAATTATCTGACTTACACATTTCCAGCAGTCACTTTAAACCCCGATTGTATTTGCCAACTTCTTTATGATAAAGAAAAGGTAAATAGGTCTGGAAACCTATTACATACACTCATGTGAGTGTATGTAAACTCACTTATTTAAAAGGTACTATAAATATCAAGATGGGCTTGTTGTTGGCCTGGAGTTGTTTGTTTGCTGGTTTGTTTTTAGAGGAATCACGTACATGCATAATGAATGAATTTCGCCCTTGGATAACTTCCTGAGTCTTCTCTTCGTTTAGTATGGAGAAACCAGTGCTTTTCATAATGAAAGGCAGAATTATCACATGGTGTAATTCCTAGCTTTATCACTGCCTCGTAGTGCCCTAAAGCTGTCATCAAAATGTTAAAATTGCACTTGCTTCAAGGATCTCTCAAATACAGAGAGCTACGTGTGTGTGGATTTATTACCTTCACCAGAAGTAGAACAAGCTTAACATCCATTATTTGTAAACATTTTAATTATTCCACCATGAAGATGTAAATCAAGTTGTTGCTTTTTTAAAAAATTACTGTTTCCAGACTTTTAAACACCAACAACTCATATGCTAAATGTTATTCTTATCAAGCAGCATCATCATCATCATTTTCCTGCCATCTCTCCTTAAGGCTTCTGTTGAGTGTTAATATTTATACAGCTGTGTTGGGCATTACAACAATCCTGTAAGTAGACTTATTTCAAATTTGTATAGAAAGAAGCTATACCCAACAAATCTATAAGTTGTTGGGTTTTTTTAAGTTATAATGCAGTTAGATCACATCCACATCATACATTTGAAGCACATGACTCCCCCCCCAAAAAAAGTATCCCAGGAATAGAGTTTATCCCTCATAGACGTACAATTCCCAGCACCCTTAACAAACTACAGTTCCTAGGATTCTTTGGGGGAAGCCATGTGCTAGTGTGGAGGTAACTTTATTCTGCATGTGATGCTAGTGACATCCATTCTTTGGTCCAAGCCAGTATTTCAAAATGCCTTGGGTTTATGACACGTTAGTCAAACTCAGAATCCATCCTAGACTGGGAGGACAAGGGAACATTCTAGAAGGAAGAAGAGGAGTGGCTGTATACAGTACTGGCAAGGAACCTGAGCAATACACTCTGCATCTGTTAAGAATAACCCGCATCCAGATTCTCATTCCCATGCATTCAAGGCCCTCTGGCTCCTGCATTGAGGATGTGGGGTCGTCAAGATGGCTAGCAGCAATCCATAAAAATACACGCACATGGATCATCATAGCTAAAACAGCAGTCAACCAAGATCAAAGAAGCAGCAAGGGAACTGTGTGCAATTAAGGAAAGGACTTAACTTTCCAGAGCAAGAGCATGTTGAGATGATGGGACCTTGCTCTTGTATATAAAAAAAAGTAAGAAGGCAGCCAATCAGGATCCCAAGCAGAAAATTCCAAAGGATGGGAGTCACCACCAAGAAGGCTTTGTTCCACAAACACACCTACCATTCCTTAGTCAACAATGAAAGTTCTGAGTGGTTATCCAAGTATTGGGGGCTTTACACAGTTGACATTTCTATTTTGTACTTCATCTTTTGTGGTACAAAGTTGCTCTGGTGGGTTCCATCCAAACAACATCAAGTTGTTATCCTTGCCACCCATTACCCTTGCATTTTTCTCTGCTTCTGGTTTGTCTAAATATAGTTTCATAAAGTGTGATGCACAGTCATTATAATATGGAGTCAGGTTGAAGCCTCAGGCTACAGTAGTGCTTCCAAAGGATCACATAGGCAGGGCATGCAGCAAGTGTGAAAGCCATGATATGTACCTCCCAAGATCTGACACATTTATTATTCTCTATTAGAATACAACCATGTGAAAGATGGAAGCTGCCTTATACTGAGTCAGATGCATCTATTGTCTACGCTCACTGGCAACGACTCTTCAGAATTTCAGGCAAGGTTCTCTCTCAGTCCTACCTGGAGATACAAGAGACTGAACTTGGGATCTTCTGTGTGCAAAGCAGATGCTCTGCCACTGAGTGATGGCTCTTCTCCCACGTTCATCAGGATTCATCAGCTCTGGCAATGGAAGGGAGGTGGAGGAGAGAGGTCATTACAGAATTCATTGTGTAATGAGATAAAGAAGGTGTGGGGGGAGATCATGAGGGGTGAAGAAGTCATCACATCAGAATCTCAGAGGTTAGATGCACTCTTGCCCTTCTTCAAAACTCCTGTCCAAACATGTGGTGGTATTCAGCTAACTTTTATGCAATGTAAAGTGGGTCATGTTCTTTCATTTCAGTGGGTCTACTTTGAGTAAAACGTAGCTGAATACTACCCATGGATTCTTCATTTCAGGGCCAACCCAATACATGTGGGTAGCTGATCAAACCGGCAACTGGAACCCATCTATGTTTGTGATGGGTTGTCATCTTCCACCGCTCCTGAAGGCAGCAGGTTCATTTAGGAGGCACAGGGAAAGTCATGTGGCACACACAGCTCTGTCCCCTAACGTCTTGCCACCTTGCCCCACCCACCAGCACTTCCCACCTGAAGTGGTTACCTCATTCTACCTAATGGTAGGGCCAGCCCTGTTTAGTCCCATGAACGAAGTTCAGCATTGAGATGCAAGACTCTAATCAGCCAGAAACTAAGCTTGACATTAAGAGAGAGAGAGAGAAAACGAGAGAGAAATAAGCATCTTATAATCTCAAGCAAATTAGGTTCTTCAAACACAGGCAAGTATATTGGGAGGAACACTTAGAAGTAATTGCTGGAGAGGTAGGTGGCAAGAGGCACATCTTCTGAGACATTGAAGAATGGAAGTAAATGGGAGTGAATGAACAAATTAATGATTAAGGATGATTTCCCCCCACCCTGTTCTGGAAGCTCCGTCCAGCCTGCCCTCTCAGCTTCAAGCAATCTTTCACTGTCAACATATGCCAAGAAATTGATTCAATTAAGATTAGGAGCCTCCGGGTTGGGATAGGGGGGGATTGTGCACAAAAAGAAATGGCTTCACTGTGGATGAGCATTTCCTCTCTCCTCTGCTCCAACAGTGACCCACAAGGTCCAAGAATGACCTAATTATAATGGATCATCAGGTAAATCTTGGTGACCAGCTCAGAAGATAAACAAAACTAATGGCCATTTATATTTCAAACACGGGGGCTTTTCGAGGGGCACATGCACTCACACACAGGCTCACATTCCAAAATAATGAGTTCTATCAGCCATTGGAACGTCCAGGAGAAAGAGTGGGGTACAACTCAAATAAATAACTATGGAGATTGATTGTTTTTAAGACAATGGTCAATTCAGGATTTGTACTAGGGATGGACATATCACAGTCATGTAAAAGTTGCAGGTCTTTTCCATCTTTTCCCCACATTAATTCTCAATTTAAAGCAAAATGTGCCCCTAAATTTGTATCTACATACATATTTTATAATGTATTACATAATATTGTGCCTCATATCATCAGACATGTATTTATATGTGTATTTTATCTCAATGTACACATTCTTAAATAAATTTTATCTAAAATACACATTTTGGAACACAACTTGGTATATTTTTCTTAACCAAGAACTGTATCACCATTTCTGAGAATTACAAAATTTCTGAGAATTACAAAATCCAAAGGATGTGCACTCTAATCTATACATTAGTCTGGGAGATGTGGGTCAGTGTGGTTTGCCTTGGAATTCACAGACATCAAATGCCTCAAGGATTTCCCATTTATACTGTGGTCCCAGAGCACAGGGTTTTCAGAATTCACAATGGGCCTTTCCTGGCCTTCTAAAATTAGATACGGTATATAGTGAGCCTATATGTGCCTACAGTGTTATCATGTCTACTTTCTCCATCTTTGCTCTCCACAAAATGACCAGCTCTTTATGCACTGAAGTTATGAATCAGATCTAGATTAAGTCTCATGGATAATCAGTTGGGCCTATTCTGCCTCCAAGAGTACGTAGGAACATGGAGACTTCTCCTACAGAAGTTGGTCCAGTTGATGGAGAACATTATTTGAGACAGAGCTCACTAGAACTGGTCATCTCTTCTAGGGTTCAGGCTTGGAAATCATGATAAAAGAAGTTACTCAGATCACATTTAGAGTGCCTATTCCAGGCATGGGGAACCTGGTACCATCCATATGCAATTGGGATTCTAACTCCCATCAGCCCCAGCCAGCCTGGCCAATGGTTAGGGACAATGGCAGTCCAACAACATCTAGAGAACCAAACGTTTCCCATCCCTGCACTAACCCCCACCAAACCTCAAAACATCTGTGGTTAGAGCATCTGTGTCTGTGCAGACGCGATTTTTGGCACCGCTCAGCGAGTCCCTGCACCATGCTGCACTGGTTTAGCACAGCGCATGGGGACTCGCCAAGTGGGTGGCTTGATTCGGGGGGGTTCAGGGGCCAGTAAAATGACCCCTGTGGGCCGCTTGTGGACCATGGGCCTTAGGTTGCCGACCTCTGGGTTAGAGAGTAAGTAGGTGTAAACTGTAAGGAATTAAATAAATTAGATTTCATTCGTTTTTTTAAAAAAATAAAAACTATGTAGACCCTCCAACTAGATCAGACTAAAAGGTCTAACTAGTCAGGTACCCTGTCTCAAACTGTGGCCATGCAGATGG